TATTTCCCCCTTCTTCCTCCCTCCCTCTTTCCTTCCTTATTTCCGCACGTCCTTCCATTCTCCCTCCCTTCTTTTTTTTCTTTACATCCTCTGTATGTATGTATGTATGTATGTATGTATGTATGTATGTATGTATGTATGTATGTGTATGTAAGTATATGTATGTATATGTATGTATATGTATGCATATGTATGTATATGTATGTATATGTATGTATATGTATATGTGTATATGTGTATATGTATATATGTATGTATGTATGTATGTATGTATGTATGTATGTATGTATGTATGTATGTATGTATGCATGTATGTATGCATGTACGTATGTTTGTATGTATGTATGTACGCACGTGCTTTTTCCTCGCGTTTTATCAAGCTTCAATGGCTTCATCTTCTTCCAAGAAAGGAGGGAAGGCGAAGGAAGGAGGAAGGGAAAGAGAACGCGGAGGGAGGGAGAGAAGACGAACACCGAGGAACGACAGTTATTAACGAAGAACCGGTGAACAAGGTGAGCAAATTGCAAGTAGAACAACGAAGGGAAATACAGGGAAAACAAATGAATATGCCGAAGGCCTTTTCGCATTTACTGCTTCATCAGGACATACGGGACAAGAAATACATAGAGGTATATAGACATGTACTTGGCGGTCAGTCATGATGAGAGGGATAGCAATACTATGGAAAAGGGAAAGATATCAATCATGATGGAAATATGAGATTACGATGACGATGATTGATGATGATAATGATAGGGGTGATAATAATAGTAATAATAATAATAATGATAATAATAATAATAATAATAATAATAATAATGATAATAATAATAATAATAATAATAATAATAATGATGATGATAATAATAATAATAGTGATAATGATGATGATGATATTGATGATTAACAACATAATAATGATAATAATAATGATGATAATGATAATAGCAGCAACAACAAATGTATCAAAAACAAAAACAGATAAAAAATAACAACACCGAGATACATCCCACCACGCCAATAAGAATAAACCAACAACACACTCCATAAACACGCGACTACATCAGCCGAGAGCGGCAACCACCGGCGCTGCATCAAGACCCAAATCTGCCGAAGCAATATCGAAGAAGAAAGGAAGAAAAAGCGACGAAATCTTATCTCCCTCGGGTTTGCAAGTGACCCGAAGGCGCATTCATGGCCAGCGCCGGCTCCTCATTGCAGTTGCCGCTTGCATTCGCCGCCGTGCTTGAGGGGGATCGGGTGGGTTTGCACGGTTGCAGTCGTGCACAAAAGTCTGCCTTCGCCCAAAGGACCATCAAACAAACTGCATCGCTTTGATTATTCTTTCTTCTCTTTTTCACATTCTTTCTCCTTTTTCACATTCTTTCTGCCTCTCCCTGCCTCTCTGCCCCTCTGCCTCTCTTTCTCTTTCTGTCTCTTTCTTTCTTTCTCTCTCTTTCTCTCTCTCTCTCACTCGCACACACACACACACACACACACACACACGCACACACACACACACACACACACACACACACACACACACACACACACACACACACACACACACACATACACACAGACCGTTCACCTGAATGGCTCTTAAACTATTTACGCATTCAAACTACAGAGAGAGAAAGGAGGGGTAAAGTGCGTGTGTTGGTGGGAGGAGAGAGGGGGGGGGTACCTGTCTGTGAGCTAAGTGATGTCAAGCACAATCGCTGCTTTCATTTCCCGAGAGTGCTTGTAGGGGGGAAGCCAATGCAATAACCGTCACGCAAATCAATGTAAGGACATCTCTCTTTCTGCTTGTTTGCTTGAATGGACCGCCTAGTCCACCTGGCGGGTCTCCCTCTCAGAATTAATCTTCGCTTTACATGCCTGCTTTCGTACTTCCTTGCCTGTCGTCCTGCCCCCTTGATCTCCTTATCCTCATCCTTGTAAGCTGATACACACTGCCTTCATATCGAAATGTGATTTGCATGTTCCGTTATGTGAGCGCGTGAGAGAAGCTCCTCGCAAGGACTCCCCGAGGACCTCCTCCGCCCGTGGGAGCAAACCTTCAAGGACCCGTCGAGTGCCACTCCTCAAACCCTCCACATTATCACAAACACAAAAAAAAACTCCTCGAACTCCATCCTAAAAGGCACCTCCCCCCCCTCCCACTCTGCACAACAGTAGGCCTACCAAAAGATTACCATTACGAGGCTTTTAGAGAGCATCGGCCTCCATCAGGCGCCCTACAAATGGGACATTCAACCTCGATGTTTGGCCTGTAACAGTGCCCCTCACCCCCTCACCCCCCTCACCCCGCGGCCGAAACAACAACAAAAAAAGGTTCAGAGACCATTCTGCTGCGTGGTTAGCATGCACGTGGACCTTCGGAGGTTTCAGAAACCCCCTTCCCGATCCCTACTGTCCTCCCCCTCCCCCCCATCCGCCACGTAAGGCCTTGTTATGGTAATCCTCTCCATCCAGAGGGACCCCTTTGTGAGGAGCCGAAGACACCGCCGCCCGGGACGCCGCCGCCGCCGCCGCCAAATCAGCAGCCACCCGACACTCAATATACATCTCGAAAAAGGCAC